GGGAAAGAGCAAGTCAGGCCTCTTCTGGTCAAAGTGAGAGCTGCAAGAACTTGTAGCCAGCTGGCACATCTGCAATCCAGGATTCTGAAACTGGCATTAAAAAGTGAGCAACCCTGTGTATTTGGGCTCACTGAGCACGTGAAGTAGAAAAAAAAAAAAAACCACCATAAAAACATTAAGAGAATCACTTAGTTTAAAGCTACCAGCCAAATGGCCAAAACTCACTTGATCTGCCTTCTTCTTTTAACTACAGATTGGTGAGATTTAAGAAACAATTTTCTTCTTCCTATTGTTCAGCACACTGGGGAAGACAGAGACATTACAGTGGCCATGCTGTTAATTGGGCCTATAGTGTACAGTTATGATGAAAGGAGAAAATAAATGTTAAACACAAACATTTACCAAATTTCATGCGGATATATTCATAGGGATCCTCTTGCCAGAGCTCTTCATCCTCATCTTTGTAGCACATTAGAGAGAATATCACTTCTTCTGTTATACTCTAGTATTAGAGAAGTCAAATACACTTAAGGACACATAAAATAAAATTCCAGTACGGCTTCCCCCCACTTTGCACTAATTTACTAGACCTACTTTTCTGAAGAGTAAAATTCTTTTAACAAGTGCTCTTTTATTTTGGCTAACAGAAATAAACTTAGAATATAGATACTGCACTTTTGCAACAGTCCCAGACAGCAGTAATTATATAATCTAATCTAACTTTATAATAATACAGTACCATGCACAAAATATTCTTCAGGACACAGTCTATAAATAGCAGAACATTGCATTCTGCAGAAGTATCTCACCAATGCAACACTTAACATGAGAATAGATTTCAGAGTCCTTCCTCTTAACAGTCATGGGATTAACTAACTACAGTGGGGGAGCTTATGATATGAAAAAATAAAAGCATGAAAATCACTTTTCACTTGTTCTTAGTTCATTTATAAAACATGTCCTTAAAACAGAGTTCAGTTCCTCATAGTTCATGTTCTCTTTGCCCACTATCTTTGCACTACAATCAATTATGAATTTCCAAATCTATAGACAATTCTGAACACTAGCAACTAATAAAAGCCAGAACATTATGACCGTCTGGCAGACTTCAAAAATAAAAATAAAGAAGTTATGGAATAGAATCTTTAATTGAGTTAACAATATCTGCAATAAAAGGTAGTCATAATACTGAAAAAAACCAACCACATTCATGTAGAAATGCTATTTTTTGCCCAGATTGATTGCTGCATGAAAGATTGAAACCTTCTTTAAAACTGCAAAACTGGTGGAGCTTTTTGGTTTTTTTAATCACTCTGATGACATGCAGTGTTTACGACAGGGTTTTATGCACTGACCTGTATGTGTGGCTTCATTTGCTTCCATGTTACAGAGTGAATAACCCCTTGGTTCAGATAATTTAACGTTTGCTGAAGAACACGTGGCGCAACATAGTCTTTTTGCCTGTATTGGTCTAAGATTCTTAAGAGAACCTAAAGAAATGACAAATTGATGTTTTTAAATGAAGACTGAAAATTCTCTCATGCATAGACATGCAGTGCACCTCTTCAGTGAATGTACATGGACAAATTAATTAGTTTTACAGCAGAGGTTCTAGTGTTAGTAATCACCAAAATGCCTTTGATAAAAAAATCAGACATCATTTAAATATTAAGGATCTAGTCCTGCAAGCATTTACATGCATGTCTACCTTTACTACTAGCCCCACCATGTGATCACTTGTGATTGTAAACCAAAGATATACTTCAATATTCACAGGCTCATAGTTTACACAGGCCTCAGCAAAATTTGGAATAGATAAGGAAAAGGCACAGTGAGATTTTCAAACTGGTTGGCTTCTAAATCTGTTAGTGGTGTCTGTGTTCATTTTTTTAAGGACAGGCCCCTAAAGACAACAAATTACTTTGGAAGAACAGTGATAAGAATAGAAATACTAAACTAGAAAAGAAAAATAGGTTAACACCTAAATCTGTGAATCAGAGGAGATGAAAACCCCTTAACTTACCTATTGTAACCATCAGATAGTATCGCCTAGCATGCTATCACAACGTCTATCACACAAAGCTTCCTTAATATAGAGGCTTGCTCTACTGAGAAAAACCTACAGCCACTACTCTGCACTAATGGCAGATGAACTATTAAGTGTTTATAAGTGTAAAGAATTGGCATGTATATGAATAACAATAAAAACCAAGGGCAATGCATTACAAAATATTACGTCATATATTTTCAGAAGGACAATTCCGATGCATAATTTTTCACAAAATTATAATAAATCTTATTTTGAACATAACTCCTTCATTAGGAGTACTAAGTCTGATCTTAAGTCTTTTATACAATACGCTCCTTGGGCAAGAATCGTCTTTATCTCATATGGACTCTAGCACGATGTCAGCACTTAACAACTGATGAATAAGTAATGAAGGCTTAGTAATGTAATATTCACAATAAAATTCTTACTAACTCTGCAAGGAAACATGACAAATCAGCATTTAAGAGCCAGAAATGGAAGAAATGTACAGATTGTCCAGTTCATTTACCTTGAAAGCTAAACTGCTCCCTCTGCTACATAGCCCAATCTCTTAACAGACAACTTTCAGTATTTTGAATGACAACTGTCCATGGGAGTCTATTTGTCCACTCAGGAGTTAAACATTGTAAGTTTAGAATAAATATTAGACTGTTTCCCTTTTCTTTCCATTTAATGGTTACAGTTTTACCACAACCATTCCTCTCTTTAGTTCTTAACATTTACATACTTACACAGAATTAATACGCTGATGGATAAACTATTCTGTTATCAAACTGGATGGAGAAAAGTAATTTTGTTTTGCAGACAATCCTGATATTTTGAAATCTAGTTTAGATTTGACTTAAGTGACAACAACAGCCTGGCACCCTGCATCAAAGACATGGAAATTTAAACTGTATGAAGCCTGCAAATGCCATGTTGGGGATATTTCATCTGGCAGCATGCTGAGGAGCCACATATTCTGGAAATACATATTATCCAAACACTTGTCACTTGAAAAACAGCATTCCCAGGTGTTTTCACGGTTTACAGGCCAAAGGGAATCAAGAGCCCAGAATCATGAGCAGGAGAGCATACTGCATTCTCCTGGCTTCTTACACAAGCCTGTTTGGAATATGTAACCCAAAAGCCTGGACACCCAAGAGCTTTAGCTGAGCCAAAAGCCTGGGAACTACTGCTCCTAATCATCTAGTAGTATGGCAGGCTGAATGAGAAACAGGAGGAGCTGTGCCAAAAACATCTGAGCCTGGGAGCCAGCACTCTCAGGGCTTTCAGGCACCCAATTGCTATAGCCATTCCACCAAAACAGGAAGATGCTGAAAGCCTGGAAGCCCACTTTCCCAGGGGCCCACAGTTGAGCTGGCAGAAAAACCACAGAAAACTCTGACAGGAACTGCCTCTCTTCTGTGCAACTTTCTCAGAACTGAACTGTCTCCACAACACCATGCTCATCACAAATAATTAGCATTCCCCAACAAAAATAATTTCCTTGCAAACTGTGAAGTTATGCTGTATTTTCATAAAATATGCTTTCCAGGTATGAAATAACACTTATTGCTGTTCTCCAGACACTTTCTAATCTGCTTATATCTTCCTGAAATAAAACAGTATCATTGGATTACTGTGCCTAAGTTATTGGTAGCAAGAGCACTTACTAAAGACTGGCCTGAAAATATGACCTTCTATGACATGAGGCCTCTGCTTCAATAGTTTTTTCTCTCAGCTATATCTATAATGTTTATACATGATGATAATGCCGTTTTATCAGCACTCACCTTTTCTGAGAATTTTCCTGCAGAGCTTTTTGAATTGCTGAAAATTTGTGTTATTATACTTCAGTTGTATGGCACTGAGTTCTAAAGAACGTCTCAATCACTAAAAGAAGAACCTGCCTGACTCTGTTCATTTTTGTTTAATGAATGAACTTCAATACAAGTACACTGTTGAAAACAATACATTTGTTCAGCCAAAATGATCTAATTCAGAAACAAATGAACTGTACTTACCTGTTGTATGCCCACAGCATAGGTTTTTAAAAAAAACTCTGAGAATTCAAAGTATTCTTTAGTTACATTTCCAGGACTTCCATACCTTTAAAAAGAAGAGGACACAGATATTTACACTGGGAGAAGTCTACTGTGTCAGGAAAACACAGTACTTTCTAAAACACAAAGGACCCTGAGTAGTCTTCCATCCCCAAAGGAATCTTTTCCCACAGGTTCCTTCTAAGCTATTATTTCCCACATAATGTCCCACTTCCCTTTTCTTTTCTTAGATTCTCATGAGGTACAATACTATAGTCAAGTAAATATAGCCACCTTTTTGTCACAAACTCTGTAACTTCCATGTTTACGGATTTCTTTTCAGATCTTCCCCTGCCTTTATATTTGAGAATATAAGCACTTGTAGCTGGATGTAATGAAAAAAAAAAAAATTCAAGATGTACTTTTCCTGTGGGGCTAGCCTCTTGCTAGATTTTTCTTAGTGAAAAATCATTTCACTAAGAGCTCAGACCAGTGGCCGTGTCATGCAAGGCAGAGGACAGCAGCAGGAGTACCTCTTCAGTGACCATAAGCTGTTAAATCAACTAAACTGGCCTGTCTAATTGCACCTCAAGTAATGTTAAAGATTTGTAACCCCAACTGAGTTTTTAATCAGTTTGTTACCGTTCAAAAAGACGAGCTACAATATGCAATGCCCACTTCTTGCATTTCCACCACACCAGCTCCGGTCTGTCATCTTCATCAATTTGCAAAGTCTCCTATAAATAAATACATTTATTTTAAATTAGCTGTGTGTATTGTTGAGAGAAATGATGCTTTAAACATTCCTTGCTGAGTAAACTAATGTAAATGCACAGCATCGACTAAAGCTTTGGTTCTGTGAACAGTTATATAACATTCAGGAACTTTCAAATATCTTAATTAGTCAATATAACTGCATATGTGCAATACTTGTACAATGCCTGTACTTTAATTTATATATTTATAAATTGCATAATAAAAATTATGCATATTTAGAAAACAGAAACTCTCACATATATTTGAATACTACACACTGGTGTGCACTCTGGCTTAAAAATTAAGCATGATACTAACTCCTCCAAAGATATACACCCTAACCATATACTAATGCAAAAGCTATTAAAACAATGTTAAGGTTGTGAAATAAATTTCTAAAGAACTTAGGAAATGCCAGTTAATGTTGTATACACACAAACAAGAATTTAATTACTGTTTTTATTTTGTTCTTCAAGAAATATGAAGGATGGATGAAACAAAAAGAGGAATGAAGACAAATGATGGGTTTGTGATGAGCTTTTGATTCTTGTTTGAGAGAAACTGGCTAAAATATTTGAAACTTCCAAAATATCCCAGATTGGAGTTTACGACCTCAGACAATGTAATTCTGACAGTTTACATGGTGTTCCTACGTTTCTGTCAGAAACACCACTTATTCCAAGGATAAGAATCTTAAATAGATGACACCTTAAAAAAAAGGAACTCTTAGAAAACATTCACACTGACTGTTCCTCAAATGCCAACAAACAAGTATCAGAGGTCTTTACAAAACTAAAACTTACCGGAGGTACATTTCTATCAATGATAGTACGGAAGATCTCCATCCACTGAGTCATAGTCTGGTTATTCACCAACTGGAGTGGCAGTGCATACTGAAATAAGAAAAAAAAAAAAAACCACATAGGCATGAAATACTAATTTTCTGAGAAAGGTAGAAAACATTTCTACAGTAGTTACATTCTGAGGAAGATGAGGTTTTAAGTAAAATTAAAACTAATTAGGTTAGGTATCAATACTACTCAAATTGCATCCTTCTTGGTACAATTTACAGAGGAATTTCTGAGCAGACACCATTTGAGGAAAGTTCCTTGCTCTGAGAACTTGCCAATTCTTTTTATTTTTCCCTCTTCTTCACAATAGCCCAGCTGACTTTTAGGGACCACGGCAGTAGCTATACTACAGGGCTTGGGTAAACCAATAACAGTTCAGTAAGTGAAATGTACTCCTAATTACTACCTAGGTACTATCTAGTAAATCTGACTTCTCTACAAAATCCACAGCAAAGTGACAATATTCAGGCAAGCTATTTAAAAATAAAATAGGATTCTGGGATCTTTTTAATCCTCCCCCCATCTAATAACAAACTATTTTAGCTTTTTAACCCCCAGTAAGAATTTTCAGGCTGCCCCTTATGTAGGATCTTGTTTTGTTTCTCATTCTCTAAAAGTACTTCCTCACCAAACTCATCCCTGTAAAAGCCAGACTCATGTCTCTAAAATGCATGTGCCTTGATAAATAATTTCTGCCAGACCTTCAGAAGATGAGAAATGCCACCTACTGAAGGGCACTATTTGACAATTACACTACAATATGCACTACTGACACTTTCAGAGGCCAACCAGCACAGTCTAGATACCCATACAGTTTATATTAGGTTATGTGTGACTTTATAAACATAGGAACATTTCTCCAGTAAGCTTATAGACAGGATGTGCAGAAGTACCTAGGTTCATTAAAAATTTAATCTGGAGGATCATGTGACCAGTTTTTAAGTAGAAAAATCTATAAAGATCATATTTTTATAAAAGCTGTTTATTGTACATGACTTTTCCCATCCAAACTGGTATTCTTATTCAATCACACCCGTGAGTATACTTAAGGGGGTCATTGTGCCCAGCAAAGTAAAAGTTTCGGCTTTCCTCTACACAGATGCCAACCTGAACAAGAGCATAGAAGATTTTTAAGATTTGTTTCTGAAGCAGTACAGAGTAATGGGAGTTATCAGGCAGAAGCTGGATCATCTGCTGCTGAATCCGAGGCAAAAATATTTGCATTGCTGCTATGAGAGGATCTCGCTCCTCTGCTTTTTTGTATCTGCAAAGGAAACAAAAACGTTGGTCCAGGATCTACACACTGGAGATTCTAATGCCTATTCCCCACCAGCAATTTCATTCCTGTACCCTAAAAAAAAAAAATTAATATCTAGCACTCGCTCATTCACTCTCCCCTCCTCTAGCACCCATCTCAACAATTTCTCTAACCTATAAACAGAGAAATGAAAAACAACAAATGGTATCTCATACAAATGCAGCTATTGGGAGGAAGAACTAATGTTCTTTACTACTGAATTGTCAGCTCAGGGGAGCAGAGACTTGAATTTCTCTGACATTTGTACCAATGCCAAACTCAAGTTGGGTGCTGAACAAAAATAGGAGTGAACAGCAATTGAAAGGGAAAGAAATTCTCGTTTTGAAAAGATTCTTTCTTTCTTCATTTACATGTATTTTGTGTGGTTTATACATATGTTTCTAACAGATAATTTTTTTAAAAAATGAGTGAGAGAGCACACTACACTTCTCCAAATTTATGCTTTGTTTGATTTAGACTATCAGAAGGATGGTACAGGTAATGATATGCAATAGGAGTATATGACAATGACAGTACTGTATTCATGACATAGAAGTAGAAAATAATTTGCACTCATATATCCAGCATTTGGGGAATCTTCAAACAAAACAAGTTATAAACATTTAAGAAATTTTTCACAGATGTGTTAAATCAGATCAAAAGTACAAAGCCTCAAGAAAAAAATGTCAGTAAATTCATACAGATTATTGCTGGCATCTCTGCTTTCAATTCACTGATGATATAAAGATGATGAATACTTTTAATTTATTTGCAGGAAGGGAAGCATATGACAATTACTAACTTCCATTTTCTATCTGATTTCCTTGTAGAACTGCCAGTGCTCTTAAGAATGTCATTCTCTGTAATCAGGTGAGACTAAAAGTACTGATTCCTCATCTACTGATGGACATCAACTTACTCATAAGTCTTCACCAGCTGATACAGGCACAGGAGGCTCCCAAGCCAACTCCCACTGTTCTGAGACTGCAAGTAGTAGCCTATCTTGTCTACCACGGCTGTCCAATGGCCGGGAAAGTCATGTTTAATGATAGCACGGAGGCACATTGTCAGCTGAGCTCTATGGCAGGAGGGAAAAAAGAAATACATTGTAAGTAAATAAGATCATGGCATAGTGTTTAATATTAAAGGATAGATCCCAACTCTTGGTTTATAGGCCACAATATACATATTACATAAGTATCATACATATTTTGACAGCACTGAAAGAGTTCTTGGAAGTGGCAGAGGAAAAGCAAGAAAAAAAAACATCACGGGATTCAACTTTAAGGAAGAAACTAATTTCAGAACATTGTAGTTACTTTACTTTTCTCCCTTCCTCCTCCCTCTCCACAACCATCAGGCAGTATTTTGAAAACAATTAACTGCTCACAAAACCAGCTAGCTTTGTACTTTGAAAACGAATGTTTATACTTCTACATGCTTATGAGGCTGAAAGCAACCACAAAACACAAATTTGTACATTTTTATTAAACAATATAGACTTGTGTTATGATCCAAGCCAGAGGTTCCTCATGAAATTACAATTTTCCTGGGATCTTCTAGAGCAGCACTTCTCAACCTCCAAAGCATATGGCAGAGCCAATTAGGTAAAAACATCTTACCATTCCTGTCCCTCCACACACTTTTAGATGCCACTCACAATGGTGAGGCAAGACAGGATCGTTAATTGACTAAAATTGAGGTGTGACTAGAAAAGCTGAGAGGCACTGAACTAGAAGCTGTAAATAAATACTCTTGGCTCTACTAAGCAAAAAAAAAAAAAACAGTCTGCAGAAAATATTGGTTCTTCTATATTTAGTTTTCCTTGGGTATTCTCTTGCAGTCTATTACATAAGGAGCCACTATTACAAAGCAGTTCAGTAAGGGGCCCTCCACCTACTGATCCTTTTAGCTTCGTACAAACTTACCTTCCCCCTCAGCCCTTTGGAGTCTGTGCTCCTTGCTGATTTGGTTCTTCCTCCCCCCTTATTCTCACAAGCAAACAGTGAAAAATATCAGTATTACAGCATCACACTAGTTCCGGTACAGTTTCTTTGACTTTTTTAACCTCTGACAAATCTACAAGTTTAACCAGTATTTAGAAACACTCTACTTTATTCCAGGTGATTGTCCCGGGGTTTTCAACAATCCTTTTAGATGTAAATTGTCATTGTAACATCAGGGCATTTTGAATATCAGGTTATGAAATGATGCCTGAACTAGTTTGCAAAAAAACTCCTCAAACTTCCATTATTTTGTGTTCTCTTGTGTAAACTTAGCCTTGGTATTTATGACATGATGGCAGGGGGAACTACATGCCTTTATTACCTTATCACAGAAACAACACAAGCTTTCTTACCGTGTAGAACAACCTTGGCAAGGAGCAACTATCTCTTTCAGTGGGGATTCTAGACATCTGTGTCAGAGCATGTTAGAAAAGCTGAACTGGAAACAATGTTTTAGTTCATTTTCCTGTCTCAGTGCAGGATCTAAGCAGTCCTGGCAGGTGTTTGTCTAATCTATTCATAAAGACCTACAGTGACAGTAATGCTATAGCAGCCTAATGCATTCTGGTGTTTCTGTTTTTTTTTTTTCTTTTAAAAGTGTTTTCTCTAATCCTAATTTCAATCTATAGACAATCATTCCTCCTCTGGATACAACTATTGACAAAAAAAGACATCTTTGGGCACCTATCTGGTGGAGAGGAGGTGAAGAGGAAGATTTTCTTCTGTTTTTCAAACATGAACATCTATACACTACAGCCTAATCCCACCCTATCAGCCTCACTCTAATTATAGTGGTGAGTTTGTGAATCTTAACTATTCTTCCAGCAAAAACAGAATAGCATTTCTTCATTCTTTTAACATCTTAAACCCAAGAATGCTAACACACATTTAAATACTGGGATTACACATAAAAATTGCAAAAGTAATTGAGAAAAGGGCTACTATGAAAAAAAAAAGATCTTGGGCAGTATTTCTCTGAATGGGTAATTCTGTATTGCAGATAGCCATCTATACTATCTGCTCTGAATCAGCCAAACAGACAGGCTGCCACTACAGCAAGTGTTAGAAGACACTTTAAACTACACCATAAGAGGACAAATCACATCACAGAGCTCTTAGCCAGGTTAATACATTTCTGAAAAACAAGTGCAAATAAATATGGTAAAATTGATTATTGTTACATTTTCAAAAGAAGTACTTGCTTCATCTCCCAAGAAATTGAGATCCTCACATTAACTACATCCGTACTGGTAGGTCTGAAAACTTGAGCTATAGAAATACCTCTACACAATATCAGGTACCTCACTAAGTCAGGAGAACGAATTATTCCTTCTACAATGTTATCACGAATCTGCTGACGATCATTTTCATGAATGTTGAATGGAAATACTGCTTCACCAGGAGGCGGTTCACGGTCCGGCCAGTACTGTGTCACCATATTCTTCAGGTAAATGGCAGCTAAGTATAAACATTGGGGAAATAATAGTTTAATTCTAACACATCTCCATGTTACTCTGTGCTCAACACATAGTTGAAAGTAGAACAAAGAGTTGAAAAGACGACTGAAAACCACTGCATGAGTTCCTAACAACTACAGGCACTAAGCACAGCTGAGTCAGAAAACCATTTTTTTTATGATTCCACACAAGATCAGGCTCAAGTGCCTGGTCCTAAAAAAACCAGGATAGGATTTCAGTCAGCTCCTATTGGGGTACATTCTTTATTATAGCAGTCTTCCATATGGACATAATATTCCACCGTTCTAAACAAGCAAACAAAAATCTACTTATCTGCATTTTTACTCATCCCTAAAACAACTACTCAAGCTCAGCAAGTGAAGTTTTGGAAGGCTCGTGTAAACAAATCATTGCGCATGCAGATGGGACACTCTGCTTGGGGAAATGCCCAGTACGAAACTGGCACGTGGCCTACCTTCTATTCGGACAGAAATGTTTGTTGTGAATTCCCTAAGCTTTATCTCACTATTAGGATTTCCCATAATCCCTCAGAATTGTTCCCTTCTGTCTCACATGAAAAACCATGAAAAATAAAGTTAATCTTCAACTGAAAATAAAGCAACGTTTATGCCTCAGTACTAAAATGCCTGTAGGCATTCTTTAGGAAACATAGGAAATATGGTGTAAGACATTAAAGGAATGTTCTTAATAAACTCTTACCCCTGTGCTATTTTGGTTGATTACTAGCTAGGGTTTCAAAGTAGAAATAAGATATCCTTGGGCACAATAATTTTTCTTGGTGATGACAAATTATGAAGTATGAAAACATATCGTTTGTAAAATATTTCATAGGAGCAAGAGGAAAAACAGTTCTTTGTCTATGACGTGCCAGAATATTCAGACAAGAAACCGGTCCAGAAAGACCAGCCCAGGACTTTAATTTACTTTGTCCATAGGTCTTGTTGTTATACAAATTCTTGGCTTTTAAAAAATTCCTAGGGAAATCTGATGACTTACAAATGTAATTTAAATGTGCTTTTCTATTTTATACCCCTACTCTGTAAAAATTTTTTTTAAAAAAGAAAATTTACAAAATTTAAAAAATTTAAAAAGTTATGTTCTACATACCCAGGTTTTTTTTTCCTGGAATGATACTGAAATGAGAGATTAATTTATAAAAATGACCTTATGAAATCTAGATTAAGCATCAAACTTTACTACAGAATGGTTTAACAATGCCATTCAAAGTTGGATTATCTTTGAAAAAATACAGGCCAGCATGACAAACAGCATATATCAGCATGCCCCAACGCACTCAGGGGATTAATAGGATCTGTGCAAAAAAAACCCAACAGTGCTTCTAAGGGAAATGCTGTTCCATAGGATAAAAACAGAGCTGTGAACAAACCGGTACTCATCAATTTCTTGAAAAAGCTGAATATTTTCTTTATCTGTCAAAAATACTGTATAGGAGTAGTTAAAATAGATTATGAGAATTTAGAATCTGATCTTACACAAATGTATACCCTAAAGTTAACTGCATCATCATACCCAACTGACACACACAGTGGGCAATCTTTCTAGACCTGCTCAGACTATAAATTCGTAACTTACCAGTGATGTGACTTTCCTTCATATCTACTTTTGTGAGCGGACACCATAGATAGTGACTAAGCATATGTGGCTACCCTTGACCTAGGGAACTATTGGGTTTTTTTATTTTTCAGAAACTTTCATTTTTTCCAGGAAAAGGCATTCAAACAGAGAAACGTATTCAGATGAGAACCACTTTTTTTTTTTTTTTTTAAATTCCCACTTGTCTTGGCATCACTACTTCTTCACCACCAGAAGAAAGAATAAGGCTCCCTAAGTACTCAGTTTTGAGCAGAAATCATTCGCTTTTCATAGCAGTATCACAGCAATCCAGTAGGGATCACTACAAACACATAAGCAGGACTCTACACTATACCCATGATTTTATCTGACCCTCATGGAGGAAAGGAACAGCAAAGATAGATCCTTTGCATTTTCACATTCAGGACAAACGTGAGTTTACATCACAACGGCTCAATCCTCTGTTGAAATAACTAACAGACTGACTTTCTACTGAAACAAAATTAAACAAGGAATTCATCTCACCTGCTTGGCGCACTGGAAATTCAACTTGATCTGATACTATGATTTGCAGTAGACTTGGAGCAAAATTGATGATCTTATAGGACTGAAATACATACAAAACATAGTTAGCAAATCACTATGTTTAAAGAAGACTGTATTACCAAAAGCTGAATAAGAAATACAAACTAAGGATTTTGCAATGTTCTTTGACTCTTCTCATGAAGTATGAAAGCTTTTAGCACTTGGATTTACCCAGATGTGCGGCAATCCAAATAATTACTTGTAAAAGCCGAGCATATAACGGCACGTGGGTGGAATAAGGAATGTGACAAGGCTCTCTATTAGAGATTAGTGATAATGAATATTTAAATAATTCTGAGAATGCATAATGCAAAGCACTACAGATCTGTCTTTGAATTATTTAACTTAGCCTCATAAGTCAAAGGGATATTGACATGTTTCATCAATACATACCATTTATTTACACAATAGATTGTGGTATAATAGCAATACTGAATTTTGAAGAGATTAAGAAAACCATTTAAAATTATTTTCAAGTGTAAACAGCATCTGCACTAGTCATATATTATAAAGCTATCTTTTAATGGACTAGATGTATAATGAATCTTAAAAGAAAAATAAAAACTGGAGAAGCACAGTGGAATAACTATTTTTAATTAAAATCATGCGTAGACAGATAACATTTCAAAACCCACAGCCTTCCTGGGAACTTTACAAACACTACATCAGCCACGCAGCTAAGAATTTCAAAGAGAAAACAATGCTCACTGAACTTCTGAGCAAAGCATGCCAGATTTAAAAGATGTGAAAATCTGATAGCATTATACTGCTGTCATTCAACAGGGGTCCTCCAACGTGAAGAATTGTTGACTCAGCATGGTGCAGTTACTGCTAAGCCTTGGCAACATCAGTAGTTACTAGTAGGTCAGATCTTTCATCACTTAGATCCATGTGCTTTATGTTCAGAGAGAGACATTTCTTGGGGCTAGATGGCAGAAGCTTTCTTTATTTCACCTTTTATAGTATTTCTTTCCAGCTAGATTGTGCCCAGCAGTTCTGTGGTTGTTTCCAGAGCTGTGCTTTAAGTACAAGTATACCACATCCTGCTGTAAACTTTGCCTCATTTGAAAGCTGTGAAGTAAGAGGTACGTTCTGCTCTTCATGCACCCAGCTCCTTGATCTAACATTTCCATAATGAGGTAAACTTACATTGCTTTCATGATGCCCAAGTGTACCAGCTGCACCACAATGCTATTATTCAACAATTTTACGAAATCACTTAACTTTCTGGCCCTCATTTTACTGATTATAATGATAGTGTAATTCTAACCTACTCTGTGCTCAGAGACTCATTTGATGTTTATAGAGTAATCTCAGATCTCAGATAAAAGCAGTAATGGCAAATGAAAAGCATACTCTCCTGCAACTCCCTTCCCTATAAACTTTAATTATCCATAAGCAATGCTCCAAATAAAGTAAAAGCTGTAACAGACAGCACAATAACTCCATTTATCTATGGACACAGTGAAATACCAGCTTTCAACATCAATTGGTTGAAGCGTACCGGATTCCAAAGATCACCTTTTAATCGAGTATACTGGAGTCCAAAGCTTGTCCTTCAGACACTACCAGACAGAATCTGTACAATGTTGGTGGGTTCTGACCCACAGGGCTGCAGCAGCCTGCAGCAGCCTCCAGCACTCAACACCCAACTCCCAGGGAGATAAGGAAAGCATAAGGAATCCCAGCAGCACAGAAAAGCAAAAATGTGCGTGAACTCTAATGGTATTTTTAATTCTAAATAGTGCCAATATGCTGTCCTTAGACCCAGTCTACGAGCAGCTTTTACTACTAAAAACACGTTGATTAAGAATGCTACCTTTTGGGGATTGTTTTGCTGTTGGTAGGTCTTTTTCCTGCAGTAATCCTACCAGTACGACATTTAGTGTGGACACAGTGACAGTATAAATTACTTCCCTTTTTCTGTGCAAACAGCTTTTCCTGAACCTACATTAAAGTCACCGCTACTCCAGGAAGCTTTCTTGGTACCACTTGTGCTGGCACATAACTGCTATCCCTGAAGTTTTGCCAGGATATATACATACATGGTTATTTGGCCTGCAGAGTGAATCCTCTCAGCAAGCACCTGGAGTGATAAAAGACACGTTACACAGAAGGTATGCACAGTGTCTCAGAGGGGGCCCCATCCCTACCAGCACACTGCTGTGAGGACTTCCTTACGCTTCATGTACTGACAACCCTAAAAAGATCAAGCTCCCACTAAATCCTTCTACTCCATACTATTATCATTACCTTTATATCATGACTTTGAACAATGCCCTAGTTTCCTCATTTCATCCCATAATTCACATTTTTACATAGCTTCCTTTTCTACTCATCATCAGAAACACGAACACTGCAAATATCAACGGAGATTGTGTGCCCATTTTAGAAGCAAGACACCCGCTTCTGTTGTATTTGCAAAGCTCAAATACCATCCTGCTCACTTGTGCAGCAACAAGCCTGGTCAGGAAAACTACATACTGCTTGCAATTTTTGGAACAGAGGACTTTTTAAAAAGCTGCATGCAGCAACATTTTTCCTATACCAGCACATTCTCGTTGGTTTAGTTGTCATGCTAATTGTGATCTTGGGATGCACCCTTCCCTGCCTTGCTCAGGAAAGGATACAACAGGCTCCTGGATACCAGCAAGCACAGCTGTACGTACCACACAAGCAGGTGCAGAGCAATTGTCAGGTGTGCAGTGTGTAAATGGAAGACAAGGAAGAGACTCTGGAGCTGAATGAGTTCAGCAAGAGTTATTTGTATCGTTACAGCTGCACCTGAACTTTTACAAAGGGAGAGAAGGAATATCATCAGTCCCAGGAAAGGAATGGAAAGCTAGCCGCTGATTTTGAAGAGCCATGCCCAGGAGCCGCAGGGAGGCACCAGATGGCTGAAAAAGACCTTCAGTGCAACTCCCATAACACAGCACGCTGCTTTGTGCAGTTTGTGAATAATTACATTGCCTTGAATTCACATTGTGGTGATTTGGTAGAACTTTCTATGAAGGTGCTGATCAACGGGGGCATACGTTTACTTTGAAGGAGAAAGTTCAAGTTTTTAAAACATGAACTTTCACTGAGTACTTCTAAAGAACAATGACTATTTTAAAGCTGTGTTAAACATGTACTGACTACTCTTGCATCAAGCACAGATCACAGCATTTATGCTAAAACCAAACCTCATTTAATTTCCATTGGGATTAAGAGGATGCAATGTGCAAGGCTAGCCGCTAAACTAGAAGAGGTACACAGCACTGGTAAGATACAATGTTATTTTATCTTAAAGTGGAGTAAATTTACAGCAATGACCAAGGAGATGCATACGTCCACATGCATCTTGTTCGACCTGTGTCCACTGTCTCAGGATCTGTGCACTGCAGCTGCATAGCTTTCTGCACTCTGTCCTTTCACCTCTGGCCTAACATGCAGTCTTCCCCGCCACAGCATCACAGCTCCACTCTTCAAAACGTCAGAGAACACACCAATTTTTTGCCTATTTCCTCTTCCATTTGATTAGGCATAGAACAGACACCCAAGAAAGCCTCAGGTGGGCCACTGAAAAACAGCAAGATGAACACTGTTATATGTAAAGGGCTATAACACTAGGAGACATAAGCTGGAAAAATACATAAAAGTTTCTCCAAATGGATCCTACTGAAGCAAATACTTTTCACATCTAACATTCAGATTTGGCTCCCAGGTTATCATGCACTATATACTACTAAACTCATTTCAGTAAGTATAATTCTTTAGTGTCTTGCTTGCTGTCACATTTAAAGCCCACAGCAAGCAACTGCTCCATAATCACAGTTGTCAGGAAGCTTCCCACTGCAGTGATAGCAACCACAGCAGCGCCGAGTGCAGAATGGCACAGGAAGGTGCTTCTTCTTCTGCAGAACAACAACAGGACAATCTAGGACAGGAGAATGGACGTGGAAAACTGGAGCCTTCTTTCAGGTTCTGCAAGTGAAGCCAAGACCATCCTTCTCTGCCAGCAGTAAACCACACCTCTTTCTCCGTACCTCTGAATCCAAGTATGGCACAAAAAAATTGCTGGAAAATCAAGGCACTACATCTTTGTTTGCAAAGATAAACACACAGAAAAAAAACCTGTACCTTGTATATATATGCAATTAATTGTTTATAAAGATTATGTTAAGGCTTTCATGCATTTGATTTGAATGCTCAACTATCTGGTTTACTAAGTTTTGTTTTCTGTTTGCTGTGCACTGAAAATGTGTTACTTAGAAACTCCATCAGTATTTGTCATCCTTGGGAATATTTCTGCAGTTGGTAATAGTATTTTCCCTCTTGGGTTTTACACTGACAGTCACAGACAGGTTGTTAAAACAAACTAGAACTTCAAAAGACACTTTCTTCTTTCCCTGTCCACATGCAAAGCCATCGTTTCGGGAGGGGAAAATGCACAGTGTTTTCACACACAGTGAAAATAAACATGTGTGAAAACCTACCTGAGCTTCTTTCCTCTGTGGGTTCTGCTGCCAAACTTGTCCACTCTCAGACTCCACTTTCACAGCACTTCTAACCATGCAATTCAACTTCCTCATCAAACTGGCCTTCAATACAAATACCTGAGATTCCTTCCTCTAGGTAACATGAGGTGCTCATTGTCACTTTCAGAGTGGCCTTAAGATCCCTGCCTACTACTGAAGGCAGCCCAACAAAGATGTGGAAGATATGGAAGGAAGCCCAACTTTATTCTGGACTCTTCTGCATTTGGGCAATATTCTCCCACTTCTTTCTCTTCTTCCAGTACTGCTTCTCAGTTCCCACTAAAGCAAAATTCTGCAACCTTTTCAATATTTAAACAAACAGCTGTATTTCTGCAATTGTGTTCTTCTTTTCCCCTTTGTTACAGGCCAAAGAAATGCATTACAGCAGGCTGAGCCAATGAAGATTAACACATGAAAATTGTATGGTAATCCTATCTGAACTGGAATCAGAGATGACTTTGTATGTTCCCATAATCAGACAGCACATTCCACAACACTGCAAGAACTGGCACATGAAAGCAGTATTTTCTCATTTAAAAAAAAAAAAATAAAAAAAAATTAAAACCAGCGAAAGCTCCTGAAGTCCATGAGACAGACCTAACAAGAGTAACAGCCTAGAACAGATATCAAAGAAAGGTGCACAGAAATTGAATATCTTTCTTGGTGTAATAATTGACTGTTCGAATAGATAGAGTGTGATTGATAAATATGATGCCAAGGTGCACACTGACTATGATGTGAGAGAGCTGAAGAAAAAAAATGAGGGGGAAAAAAATGAAAGAAAAAGAGGGGGATGGAAGGATGTGTACACTTAGAAAATCAACAGGCTAAAAGGGAAATGACAGCAGCTACATGATAGAGATTACTGACCTGGCAGGAAATCACTGTTCTAGTTTATCAAGAATCACATTTCAGACAAATCCCACACTTATATTTGTGTTCAGGTCACTGACAGAAGTGAAGTTTGTTGATGACTCAGAAGCAGCACGCATCACCCAAGGAGAAAGATCAGAAAAATCTTACAAAGAACTGAAGGATCTTTGGAACTGCAGCAACAAAAATGGAGTGGGGTAATAGGGCAAAGTACACGGTCACGCACTCAAGGATAATAGGAATTTCTCCTAAAAGCTTGAGGTTTCTTAGTGAGGAACAACCACAGGATAAAAGGACCTCAGTATATTAAATGATAAGAAACATCTTCGTGTTGGACACAAAGAAGATAATTGTAGTTTTAACGAGGCATTAGTGGCATTGAGCATGAGACTTTCTGGAATGCTGCAAACACAAATGACCAGATTGCACAAGAAAGACTATTCAAAGGGACACAAGTGCGGAGAAGAGCTGTGCTCTCCCATTATTAGATTTCATAAATTCAGTTTTATGGTAAGGTAAAGCAAATACAGCCTGTTGAGGCCAGGAAAACAGGCCAGTAAGGATCAGCCTTTGACAAACATGTCAGAGCAGGTATGAAGAAACCTATTCTACTTAAGAAGTAAGACTGGCACAAATGGATATAAATGGACCATAAATTAATTTAGGCTGGAAACCAACACTTGTTCCTAGCTACGGGAGGAAGAAAATTCACAAACAGGCTTCTAATAGATATAATAAGGCAGGGGGAGGGGAATGGTGAGGAAAAAAGGAATCTTGATTCCATTTCTGAATGCCATTAGATGATAATCCAGAAGGCAGACAGCAACTTCATTGATTTAGCTCTATCTTTACACAGGTGCAGAACATACAGAAGAGAAAGAGGCATTTTCAAACATGCTGGGACTTTTTACAGGTAGGCAAGCTTTCGTTCATTTTAGCTCCATTCCCCACACTCTACACTGTAAGCAAATTATGGAGTTGGGACTGTTATGATACTGTTCTAAAGGACTCTCTGTATTGGTACAAGCAATGAGGTGCTGACAGAGAGGTGCTATATTGGTGGACTAGCAGAATTTATACTCTCTGGGAAGCTCCTGTCACTACCGGGATTCAAACCTGAAAGCAAATGTATACCGCAGGCGGGCTAACACAAGAGAAGTTTCACCTCACTACCCGTTAGCGTGCATCAGGAGCAGCATCACTTTAACTAGTGCACAGAATAAAGGCAACCCCTGTTCTGTTTGGTCAAGTGTGGTATTACCGCTTCAAGTACTTATTGTTGGAGGGTGTTCTGTTTGGTTGGTGGATTGGTTCCTTTGCCAGAACAAGATAAAAGCTAGAACAGCATCTGGATTCCACCACTTGCAGGAACACAGCTACATGCCAACGCTATCATTAGATACATGGGAGTCTGACATGTCTCTTTGAAGTCTTGCTTCAAAAGCACTGAAAGGCTTCAAGATGTCAAAGGCCCACGTTAATCGACATTCCTCAGGAGCACTTTTGTTCCACTCATCCAAAGAGTCATGTCAAACCCAGCACCGCATCGGTACATTATGTCAGTCAGATACATCATGCTTCATTTAGTAACAGGAAGCCTACACAATAATAGGTATGTCTTAATTTCAAGATTCATTCTTTATAATAGGTAGAAAAGAGAAAATGTGTCAGTTAATTTAAATAAAAATCTGTATCTCAACCTGTTCTCCATAAATATACTTGCACTCCTGAATCTAAAACCTCTGTCTTTCGTGAGAACTGCATTATCCATCACTTAAAACATTTTACAGGTCTCAATCTTAAAACGCTTTCAAAACTTTCCCTGAGCTTCACGGTACTTATTGGTGATGTTAAAACGACAGCGTTAGGAGCAGGACACAGGAATCCAGACAGCTGCCTCTTTGTTCTGAGCCTGCCAAACATGCAGCAGTTTATTATTGTAGTTTTGATTCCTGCACAACAGGCTGCTGACAAATATTTATAATTTCCCCCTCAGTCCTTAATAGTAGGGATAAAAATAGGTACTGATGAATTTTTAAAGTAACTATGCCAAATAAAGAAAAAAAGGTTTGCATTTCTATCTAACTATCCACAATAGCATTCTCAATGTCCAGCACTTAATCCACTGATTTACTAAAGGAACTTGCCAACTGTTAAAGCAAGGATTAACTATAGCTAATTCAGAAGGAGTTTTAAATTGCCTAAATAGAAAATTAAGCCGGAGCAGCAATTCTGAAGTAGCAGTAATTCCTGACAGCCAATTCTCATTGACCGCTTCGTTAACACACCAAGGCAACTGAAAAATCCAAGTCCTCCAATAAGACTGAATATTCCAGCGAAGTATAGAGGTTAAAGCTTTATTAATGCTGTGCAAGGGAACGTTCTCTTTTTTTTCAAGTGTCCAAATTGAGATTGTAGTCAGAGTTTCGATTCAGCGCATACTGCCGCTCCATTAACTGTGGGATGCTGCGATAAATACTACCCACAAAAATCTGATGTGCCTTTCTCAAAGTTTTACTTGGCACGCTGCTGAACGGGACAAAATGAATCCGTGAGAGGCACTGCTATCTATCATCTGTAAGAGGGAGAGAGAGATCCGAGCCGAGCGCGGCTCAATGTCACGCCTTCCAGCACCGAACACCGAGCCTTAGTGCTCCGGCCACGCCGAGGATTAGATCGCCGCACCTCGCTTCGGTACGCCCTGCTCCCCGGGTGGCAAAATTAAGGGCAAAAATCGAGGGAGGGCAGCGATGCCCCCCGGCAGCCGGGCACCTACGGCGCGGCTCAG